TCTGGTGGTGGTCTGAGTCTTCGTTTGGGTCTTGGTCTGGTGGTATAATGCAACCTATTAGGTTGCATTATACTGGTTTACATGGAAAAATCCCTATTAGGTTGCATTATACTGGTTTACATGGAAAAATCCCTATTAGGTTGCATTATACTGGTTTACATGGAAAAATCCCTATTAAGTTGCATTATACTGGTTTACATGGAAAAATATCTATTAAGTTGCATTATACTGGTTTACATGGAAAAATCCCTATTAGGTTGCATTATACTGGTTTACATGTACAAATCCCTATTAAGTTGCTTTATACTGGTTTACATGTAAAAACCCCTATTAGGTTACATTATAGTGGTTTACATGTAAAAATCCTTATTAAGTTGCATTATACTGGTTTACATGTAAAAACCCCTATTAAGTTCCATTATACTGGTTTACATGTAAAAACCCCTATTAAGTTCCATTATACTGGTTTACATGTAAAAACCCTATTAAGTTGCATTATACTGGTTTACATGAAAAAAACCCTATTAAGTTGCATTATACTGGTTTACATGGAAAAATCCCTATTAAGTTGCATTATACTGGTTTACATGGAAAAATCCCCATAAGTTGCATTATACTGGTTTACATGAAAAAAACCCTATTAAGTTGCATTATACTGGTTTACATGGAAAAATCCCTATTAAGTTGCATTATACTGGTTTACATGGAAAAATCCCTATTAAGTTGCATAATACTGGTTTACATGGAAAAATCCCCATTAAGTTGCATTATACTGGTTTACATGTAAAAAACCCTATTAAGTTGCATTATACTGGTTTACATGGAAAAATCCCTATTAAGTTGCATTGTACTGGTTTACATGGAAAAAACCCTATTAAGTTGCATTATACTGGTTTACATGGAAAAAACCCTATTAAGTTGCATTATACTGGTTTACATGTAAAAACCCCTATTAAGTTGCATTATACTGGTTTACATGGAAAAATCCCCATTAAGTTGCATTATACTGGTTTACATGAAAAAAAACCCTATTAAGTTGCATTATACTGGTTTACATGAAAAAACCCTATTAAGTTGCATTATACTGGTTTACATGGAAAAATCCCTATTAAGTTGCATTATACTGGTTTACATGGAAAAATCCCTATTAGGTTGCATTATACTGGTTTACATGTACAAATCCCTATTAAGTTGCTTTATACTGGTTTACATGTAAAAACCCCTATTAGGTTACATTATAGTGGTTTACATGTAAAAATCCTTATTAAGTTGCATTATACTGGTTTACATGTAAAAACCCCTATTAAGTTCCATTATACTGGTTTACATGTAAAAACCCTATTAAGTTGCATTATACTGGTTTACATGAAAAAACCCTATTAAGTTGCATTATACTGGTTTACATGGAAAAATCCCTATTAAGTTGCATAATACTGGTTTACATGGAAAAATCCCCATTAAGTTGCATTATACTGGTTTACATGAAAAAAACCCTATTAAGTTGCATTATACTGGTTTACATGGAAAAATCCCTATTAAGTTGCATTATACTGGTTTACATGGAAAAATCCCTATTAAGTTGCATAATACTGGTTTACATGGAAAAATCCCCATTAAGTTGCATTATACTGGTTTACATGTAAAAAACCCTATTAAGTTGCATTATACTGGTTTACATGGAAAAATCCCTATTAAGTTGCATTGTACTGGTTTACATGGAAAAAACCCTATTAAGTTGCATTATACTGGTTTACATGGAAAACACCCTATTAAGTTGCATTATACTGGTTTACATGTAAAAACCCCTATTAAGTTGCATTATACTGGTTTACATGGAAAAATCCCCATTAAGTTGCATTATACTGGTTTACATGAAAAAACCCTATTAAGTTGCATTATACTGGTTTACATGGAAAAATCCCTATTAAGTTGCATTATACTGGTTTACATGGAAAAATCCCTATTAAGTTGCATTATACTGGTTTACATGGAAAAATCCCTATTAGGTTGCATTATACTGGTTTACATGTACAAATCCCTATTAAGTTGCTTTATACTGGTTTACATGTAAAAACCCCTATTAGGTTACATTATAGTGGTTTACATGTAAAAATCCTTATTAAGTTGCATTATACTGGTTTACATGTAAAAACCCCTATTAAGTTCCATTATACTGGTTTACATGTAAAAACCCTATTAAGTTGCATTATACTGGTTTACATGAAAAAAACCCTATTAAGTTGCATTATACTGGTTTACATGGAAAAATCCCTATTAAGTTGCATAATACTGGTTTACATGGAAAAATCCCTATTAAGTTGCATTGTACTGGTTTACATGGAAAAAACCCTATTAAGTTGCATTATACTGGTTTACATGGAAAAAACCCTATTAAGTTGCATTATACTGGTTTACATGTAAAAACCCCTATTAAGTTGCATTATACTGGTTTACATGGAAAAATCCCCATTAAGTTGCATTATACTGGTTTACATGAAAAAAAACCCTATTAAGTTCCATTATACTGGTTTACATGTAAAAACCCTATTAAGTTGCATTATACTGGTTTACATGAAAAAAACCCTATTAAGTTGCATTATACTGGTTTACATGGAAAAATCCCTATTAAGTTGCATAATACTGGTTTACATGGAAAAATCCCTATTAAGTTGCATTGTACTGGTTTACATGGAAAAAACCCTATTAAGTTGCATTATACTGGTTTACATGGAAAAAACCCTATTAAGTTGCATTATACTGGTTTACATGTAAAAACCCCTATTAAGTTGCATTATACTGGTTTACATGGAAAAATCCCCATTAAGTTGCATTATACTGGTTTACATGAAAAAAAAACCCTATTAAGTTGCATTATACTGGTTTACATGGAAAAATCCCTATTAAGTTGCATTATACTGGTTTACATGGAAAAAGCCCTATTAAGTTGCATTATTACTGGTTTACATGGAAAAATCCCTATTAGGTTGCATGATTACACTGAAGTCCTTGAAACTGCTGAAGTCCTTGAAACTGCTGAAGTCCTTGAAACTGCTGAAGTCCTTGAAACTGTTGAAGTCCTTGAAACTCTTGAAATCTTGAAACTGCTGAAATCCTTGAAACTGTTGAATCCTTGAAACTGTTGAATCATTGAAACTGTAGAAATGTCTGAAAGAGCTGAAGTCCTATTAAAATGCATGGGCCTATTAAAATGCATTGCAGAATTCTCAATGCAGATTTTTGTCCGATTGCGGAAAAACCGGAAATCGCTGAAGTCCCAAAAGTAATAGCAATAATCTCCCAAACATGTGGAACGTTTTGATGTATAACTTGTGGAAATTGTTGAAAATGTGAAAGCTGTGAAACGTGTCAAAAAAAATGACGGAATAAAGAAATACAAAACCAATGGTTGACTGCGGAAGGTTCCGCAGTCAATCAATGAGCTGAGAATCATGTTAGTGGTCATGCGTCATTGGGACAGGGTGGGAAGTAGAGTGGACGTACCAATCGCTCCGTGCTGCGTGTCTATTACGGAAAAGATGGAGATTTTATACAGAAAAAAGTACAAACGAGTTATACATCTTGATGACATTTGATTTAAACAACACTGGTTTGGAATTGATTAGCGCCACGTTGTAGGCAAAGGTTACCATTACAGAGAACAAGACATAAAATGAGTTTGTATGGATTGGATAGATTTTTACATCTTAATACTGAAGGGTGAATAGTAAGGAATGAGTGAGTAACCTTGCGAGGTGAAAAGCATTTTGTACACATTGAAATGTTAACGTCCACGTACTTCAAATACTTGCACCACTGACCTTTGCCGGGTTAACAACAAATACATGACTTTGGAAATGTATTAAAAATCAAATATCATGCGTAAATACAAGTATAAAGTTGAAGTACCTTAATTTTGTGTCTGAAAGTATTAGAACACATCTTATCTGTTACATAGTGAGAGCTGATTGGCTGAGAAATGGTAGTTCTCTCTTTTTCTGTTTCAAGAGCGAGGAACCAGGTACATGGATTGTATCACATAGTTCTACTTTTTTGTGGTTTCCGAGTTAAGGACTCCAGCTTTAAACCTTATCTTGAGAAATCTACTTTAGTTTGGTTTCAGAATTCTTCAAAATCAGACATGTACAAAGGAAAGAGACAGACTGAAGAATTTCCCAAATGTGTTTTACAAATCAGAAAACTGCTTTGTACATGACGTCATAGTCTTAGGATGCAGATGGGAGTGTTTAGACAGAAGGGGTGGGGGGCCGTGTTTGTGTAATCTTTATTTTATTTATTTATATACCGCCTTTTCACTGCACATCGGAGTCTCAAAGTGGTTTACAAATTGTTATTTTTTTGGGCATTTGTCCTCTCGCTCCACACAGAGATGGGAGCGGGGTCGCCAGTATAGGAGGCGCATGCCAGACCTATTGTACATATTTTTAGTGGTAGGGGAAACCGGAGTACCCGGAGGAAATCTACGCAGACACAGGGAGAACATGCAAACTCCACTCAGAAAGGCCCTGGTCCGACCGGATTTCGAACCCAGGACCTTCTTGCTGAGAGGCGAGTGCTATCCACTCAGCCACCGTGCCGCCCGTTTGTGCCAGACGTGCCTGATATTAGCACGGGTAAAAATTACAATATAGATAGATAAATCTATATCTATCTATCTATATAATTATTGATTGCGAAGGAAATTGCACATTTATATATCGTCATATAGCATAATATGTGTACATGCGCTTTTATAAAGACAATACATAACAAGTTTAGCTGTTGCCATTATTTTTGAGGATCCAGTTTAATCCCGATGCACAAAACAGCTGTGCATTGCCAAGGAGCTACCACTGGGATCATTAATATTCATAGACCCAAAGAACCGCGCAACACACCATAGGGAATTTCTGCCGCCACTGAACTTGTTACAAATGCCCAGATTTCCATGGAACAAAGTAGCATTGGTGTTTATGATGGATGAATACTCGTGGCAAACTCACCCCTTCACTGTTTTGTCCACTCTTGGCCAGCATCTCCTGCAGAGCCCGCACCGACAGGGACTGCTCCAGCACAAAGGTACAGATGCACAGGTCTGGAGGTACATACTAGGGGGAGAAAAAAGAACATTGATTTAACATGTGCAATAAGCTCTGAATGCTGGGCTGAGTGTACTGTATTGCCATTTTTCTTCTCTATTGTCTCCAGTGTAATAATCCATGAGGAAAATATCTGCATTAATTTGTGGTGATACTGCCTAGCAACTACAATGCAGCATTGTAGACATTTAATAAATCATGTGAAATGGTTGACCTATTTCACTAAGACTATCTGTTAATCCGTGTGTGGTTCAATGGGACAGTTGCAAGATGCCCAAAAATGGACTTGGCACACCCACTTATAGCACCCACCCATTTAGTTGTGGTTTGGCCAGCGTGAGACTAAATGGGAAAGCTTATTACTTAACTTGTGTTTTCCTGTTTTGGTTACAGAGGAAATAGTCTCTAAATTAGAATCTATGATGTTTTTAACGACACTTAATTGGGAAGCAGTAGAGGGGGAGCTATTTATCGCAAGACCTACAACAAAATGCCCCTCTGTGAAAGCAATTTATGATTTTATCCACAGATGAGAAGCTGTATATTTAATAGATATATTTCTTACTAAGGCTGCTGAATGATATCATGCAAACACGTATAGTTATTTATTGTAGGTAGCCCAACACTTTGCTGTGTTTACATTTAGATTGCATCCCAAATAGATTTTCCATTTTGACAGAGATTTTATGTCTGTTACCAGCTATCAAGATCAAAAACTTCATGAGTTCTGAAAAATCCCTTGATTAAAATCTAGCTAAAAATACGGCTCTCTGATGAATCCCTTTTGACGCCTTGATGACCAATACCCCTGCACTCATTAACCCAAGCACGTATTATGAACAAATCGCTATGGAAACCAGCCTCCAGTCAACAGCGATTTTGATTAAGTGGCTCAAAACAAATTGTGCAACCAGAGCAAAAAGCATTCCCAGATATGAGCGATATGTTGAAATTGCTCCATCGGGGATATTTGGATTAGATGCTCACTCGTAAAAACCATGCTGAGTCGTGCATTTTCCCCCGTTTCTAAAGTGAGCTTGTCTTAATCGAGTAGGCGATATTCATTAAAAGGTGCTTTCAAAATAGATTAGGTGTACTCGGGTCAGGCTGCTCTTAAATAAGCCAGACTTTTATGAATGGATAATGAAAAGAAGAAAAGCAGTCCAAAACAAGGGGCATGGGAGAAAAAGCAGTGACACAATGGGGAGATAGTGTGAGATGAATGATAGCCAGCTAAACACCTCTGCTGGCCTCTTTACTGAGCATCCAAGTGTCCCAAACTGGTTGAGTCAGACAGTCCTAACCTCATTGCTAACTTTCAGGAACCCATTTAGAGGCTGCAGCTCTGGGATTAGAATACAATGCAATAGTTTCACCTTGTTCCAATTAGGCCTGTGTAAGTTTTATTTATACAATACTATACTTGATACTAGGGGTGGGAACCTATGGGTACCTCACGATACGATACGATACGATACAAAGCTCACGATAACGATAATATCACAAAAACGATTTTATCACAATATGACAATTATCAATATATTGGTCAGAAATATACCATATGCCAATTTATGGCATAAATAAAAGAAAAATGTTAAGTGAAAAAATACATATATATATATATACAGTATATATATATATATATATATATATATACTACATCTACAACACTACATCTATCCTCTCTCCACTGGTCAACCAACATCTGCACTCTGGCATCTGCTGCAGAAAGGGTATTGTGTGAAGCCTGAGGGAGGCTGAAAAGTGCCCACTTCTGTCAGAAAGTGCTCTACTAAAGCAAAGAGTGTCGGCTGCTTCATTGTAAGAGCAACTTTTGCCCTGTGGCTTTTGATTCATGAGCAATTGCAAAAATTGAATAGACAAATGATGAATGTACACAAACAAGATGTCCTAATTGATTAGCATTTTTGCAAAAACAGTACAAGTTTTGAATCAGTGCCAGTGCATTAGACAGTAAAGACAAGTCTATGCCGTTAGTGGACATAGTGACAAGTGGCCTGGTCGTATATCACAATCAACTGGCTCCTTTCAGCCTGATTGATGCAGCGTTTGAACCATGCGCAGTTTAAATCAACCACTTCCCCACTTTGTCTTGTTTTTTTGGGTCCTGTAACAAGCTTATGAAATAAGAACAAATCTAATTTAGTTCTCTCTCCAAAATGCCATTTTGGATTTGTTGTGATTTGGTTGTTCTTGAGTGCGAGGGAGGAAGCATCTGTCACAGACGTCAGGGGTAATCGCTGTTCAATATGGGATGAAACGCAAACACACTGGGTGAAGTGTGGTCAGCGGACAGTGAGAGGGCTGGAGCGGACAGATATAGACAATGATTACCAACTAAGAGGAAGCAAATCATTAAATTTTCCTGAATTTAGAATGAAATTAAAATCAATGTGTATTTTAATATAAAACGCTTTTTTAATAGTTTATACTTTTTCATAGTGTAAACAATCATAGATGATCAGTGATATTTGTAAGTGGAGACTACATCTATATTTTCCTTTGGGGTTGTATGTGAACATAATATGCAAACAACATTTAATGGAAGTGACCATTTTGGAAAAAAGAAAAACAAACAAATCGCAAGGAGAAACTCAAAACACCAAGAAACAAACTTACACAATAATGAAATCACATATATGAAGTTAATAATGTGTCCTTATGTTTAAGGCTTTGAAGGTTCTTATAATGAGACAAAAGTGTAAAGAAGCAAGTACAGTAAACATGTCAGGCAATTAAGCAGCACTAACTTTTTTACACTAGCTGCACACAATAATACACTCTAAAAGGTTACCAGCAAGAGCAGTACCATGCAAATAGAAAAACGTGTTCAGCAGAGTTCAGATGCATCCCTATGACAGTCTTATAGCCAAAGGAGAAATAAAATCCATAAACCATTAACCATACCAATGCAGCCCAGAGTGTCATTTTTATTGATTTTTATGTCCTGGAGCTGGATGTGTTCGTGTGTATGCGCTGTTATTGAAATAAAAAATGAAAGAAAAAAAATGTGGCTGTATCTTTGCTTATCTCTGTCTCATTTTACTATTACATCCTTTTAAAACCGATCCATTCATGAAGCCTTTCTCGTTGACCTCACAAATGTAACACTGGCAATACATCTGCAGTAATGTGGTAATTTTAACCGTACTTTTAAACACCGTCAGCTCTTCTGTGGGATTCATAATCATAGATCCTAATTAAAAGAAGATCAATGTGGACGGGCTATTAGCAGTGAAAACTACAGTCACGTTAGACCTGTGCGAGGCGAGAGCATTTCTGTTTCCCTCCTGGAGCAATCAATGACAAGTAATAGCTCTATCACTTCCAGATTTGCACTCCTCCCATTGGGCACGATGATATCCTAATTTAGAACGTTTAACTTGTAAAACAGCACACCCTACTGATGGCAAGCAATGCGTTCAAATTCAACTATGCTAATTAAAACTTTAAGGTGCACGCTTCGGCTGCATGTGTGAAATCAAGCTAAAAGCATTTACGCTAGCATTTATGAAAAACAGTCGTGCTCTAGTGGTCGTGTGGACGAGGTGACGAACGCAAACATGGATTTTCATGTGTTGCTGCTTTTTCAGAATATGATGGTCAAATTCATAATTCTGATAGTAGGGCTTATTCTTACCACAATTTTAAAAGATGATTAGTTTTTACAGCAGGATGTCTTCCCTTTGAGAAAAAAACCTCACCCCTGCTGCTGATTTATCCGTGTACCAAAGAGGACTAAAATGTGGGCTAGCGAAGGCACCTTGGATAAAAAAAGATGATGAACCAATGTCTCCTACAGTATGTGTCGTTATTATTGCATTTCACATGTTTGAACTGTTTGTTTGTTATGTTTGTTATGGAATTGATAAATTGTTGTAAAATCCTCTGAGACAACTGCTTTTGTGAAAGGGCTATACAAAAATAATCAAATTGAAAGTGTAAGTGAAACAAGGTGGGTCTGTTCACAAACTACACTTCCTGTTCTGGGATTGGTCCCCAAATCCTTGCAAACATTTAAGCCAGGGTTTCCATGCTGTTGTGCAGTTATGGCAATTATGGCCAGGCTACAAATATGTCTGACTTGTTTTAAAACATTGAGTGTGTAAACAAAAAAGAAAATAAGTACAACCCCGGACAGAATAACAGGTTTGCATATGTCCCCTTTAACTAAAACCAGATCCACCTGACCCTTGTTCTGCTTGCAGTAGTCTTGGACATCTCCACTGGGAATGCTCTGTTATAAAGCCCAGCGTTCTGTGGCTTGGCTTCACTGACTGTAAACCAAAACATCAACATTTACTCTGGCACTTCCATGCAGCTGAGCGCACATCTGAGTGAACTAAACCTCTCATTACACAAGATTCACATTCCAGTTCATTGCCTTGTGTTTAATTTCTAAATAAATGTGTGAGCTAAATAAATGCCTTTTAAATAAAAAGGCATTGCATAACAAGAGTGAGAAAAATACATAGGGCCGCCACAAGTTTTTGTTTTTATCCTTGTGAGTTAAAATGTATGTTTTCATTAGGTCTAACACATTTCCCTATATGTGAAAATAAAGTATACCTTAACCTTGTAATTTATTTGTCATATAAGTCCACAGCTAAACAAAACTCATTTGCATTATTTGCCTCAATAACCACTCACCGCAAAATTTCCAAAAACTACATTTTGATCTAAACTTCTCACAATTTGAAGAGGGTATTGTTTTAACCAGTTTGTCACTAAGTGCGGTCTACATTTTGGTTTAACGAATTCTGATGAAGTATTTTGAGGAAAGAGAGTGATGCACTCAACCCAGCAAGTAGTTGAGAGAGAGGTGTGTGGTCAGAGAGTGTTTGGGCCTGTGTCGTGTGTGTGTGCGAGTGCATGAGTGTGCGTGTGCCTTTTTTTTTGGTAAGAAAATATGTTTGAAATAAAAACATTAATTCTATATCAAATGTTGCTGTTATTGTAGAATATTTTAAAACATAACGACACCCATAAGTGAATTGAAGTTATAGCTTGTATATTTACAAATTAAAATTCTCTTTTGGTCTTCACATAACCATTTTGTTGATCATGATAATCAAACACTACTGCTCTTTCGAAGTAGCTTTGCATACCTGCTTTTGATTGTGGTGTAAATTGTGCTTGCCAATACGCTTGCCAAAACAAGGACCTGTCATGTGGATAACATTTGAAGCAGCGACAGCCGACGCCGCTCAGACGGTTTGAAATCAAAGCGCTCGGCTCCTCTCTCCTCTCTCTGATCGAAGTACGTACCTTCGCTTCAGATGTGGGCTCCAGGTAACACAGTCGGTTCCCCAGTCCCTCGGCGGCCAGGCACAACTTGCGGTTCTCCTTCTGAATGCAGGCCACGCACTGTAGCACCACTTCATCATCCTGTCGAAAGAAGGCAGTCTTCAATCTGAGCACTGTGGGGAAATCATCATACGCACACATGCAAAATCACAGCTCATAATATACTGCATGGCCCTCCTATCAGTTATCTGTTTTGTGTCTAGCTCAGGCTAATTGGGAGGTTTTCACCACTAAATACACCAGCTCTCTGAGGCTGATTGCTTTGAGCCGACCCAATCGTCTTTAGGCCTATTTACCAAGCTTACGCCATACAAATAAGGCACAGGCAATTGATCAAAGCGTCACACAATTTAAGAGGAAATAACGAAGGGAGAAAAGAAATGTCTTTGTGAGAATGTAGAAGCATTAAAATTCTTTAACTGGTTTGAAATGCATTTTGTGTCATAAAAGTGTTTGTTTTGGCTGTTAGGTTTGTAAAGTGGTCTCTATGGATATGATGCTTACATTGTCATAAATTCAGCTAAAGCATTGTGCAACTTCTGTGATGGGGTTCACTTGTGACGAAGATGTTATTGCTTTGCGTGAAATACACCTCAGTAAGACACAAAACCTTAAAAAAATATTGTTTTATTAAATATGATGTATACACCGGTCAAAGGTATAAACCTTTGAACATTATATGCTTAGTTAGGGAGCATCCATCTTTGCAGCAGATATTTAAGAAAATTGATATCAAACCCTGCCATTGGGCCGCCAACTAGAGTACCAACTAGAAATAAGAAAATATATCTAAACTGGTATAAGAACTCGTTCCTACCCATATCATATCTCCCTTTCACCTTCACTCTGTGGTCCAGCCCCAAACCATCTAGATTGGGTTCAGGTTTGGTGACTGGAGGCCGGGTCATCTGCCCCAGCATCATCACTCTTATTGGACAAATATCCCTTACACATCCTGGGTGTGAATCTACAGTCAATAGTCATGAAAAGAAAGGACACTCATTGAATGAGAAAGTGTGTCCAAACTTTTGGTCTGTACTGTAGAAGAAAGTCAAATTCACCTTAAATACAAGATGAATATTGATCTAAGCTACTTAAGAATACGAATTTTAGAATACAATTTTTTTATTATTATTATTATTTATGGTGAATAGACTCTCAATCAGTGTTCACAAACAAAACTAGCATTTTGGCTAAAACCTTGAAAAATCAATGGTAATACACTTTTATTGTTTCTGAGCTCCAACTGCCAGCCTTTCCTCTACAACATTCTAGTGTTCATTCTTACAAAAGTGACCCCTGCCCCAGGGACAACAAATGGAAATAATCCATTGCAACCATGCTGGCCATGTGTGTCATTAACATGCACTGTGTCTGACCCAAGCAAATAAACTAATCAGAATCAGAATCATTTTTATTGCCACGTAAGTAACAAGTTACCACTTGGAAATTGTCTTGGCAGGTGTGCCACTTCGCCATTTGCGGCGCTGTGTAATATATAAACACATTTAAAGTAAACCTGCATCACAATTATGTTTTTGTGGATAACAATGAGAGGAATTGACTTATCAGTAATTTCTCACCTAAACACATTCATTAGTTTATCAGGCCACATACTAAGGATTTAGTAAAAGAGGCTAGGCAGGGCAAGCTTATTTGTATAGCACAAATTCATACATAAGGCAACTCAAAGTGCTGAACAAAATAAGATTTTGAACAAAGTAAAAGAGTTAGCTAAGCAAACCAAGCATGACTGCAGTGTATTCTGTAGGAGCTCAAAGTTGAAGCTCTACATGTATCTTAGGTTGTCAGTGCTTAATAATGACTCCAACCGCATAGGTGTAAATGTTACTTTTAAATGAAATCGCAAACTAAATAAACACCAGAGAAAGAGCTTTACCTGCATAGAACAGAGAGCTGAAATGTGCTGATATCGGCTACAATGAGAAAGGAGGGACTGTGCACAATGGCCAGCTGCATTATTTAATGTGAAGGCGATTGTGCTGAGAGCAGGGTGCAGCGTGCTCGTTGGTCGTAGTAAGAGTAAAGCACACCATTAGGTTGGACCTATGCATGGGAGAGAAATAAAGAAGACACCAACACATTACTGGCAGATACGGTGCAGTAACTCTAGCCGTGTTTAGTCGCATTGCAGACAAATAAGAAAAAGCCCTGGGGTGTGTAAAACACTGCTGTGTCACACTGTTTTCTACAGGCAAATACAAGGAAGTGTTGTTTTGCTTTTAGGGGTTGTGTCAATATTGCATTTGAAGCTGCTCTGTTTTATGGTAATGTTTTTTGGATAAAATAACCCTTTGGGAGTCAAACATCGCAATGAAGTGCTAATAAAACTATTAGTTACAGAACTTATAGTTATGAAAAATGAGGCCAATTTTCTTTATCATAGCAGTCCCAAACACATTAAACAAAGGCCGAAAAAAAATCAATCAATGGCCCTTCGTTCAATTAATTTATTGCCTATTGGTCAAAAAAGGTAAATATAAAAGGGATTTTATATAAACATCTTATTCAAAAGTGTAATAACTCACCATTCTGGACTTAAGAATTCGTTGTCTAGGGCTCTCTATGATCTTGTGTCTTACTACAATATTGTCTTGATGAATGACAGTGTTTCCCACAGGTTTGAAGGCAATGTGTGGTGGTCGTCGGCGGGGGGGGGGGGGGGGGGGGGGGGGGTGGGGTACAGTGGTACAGTGGTAGAGGACAATCTTGAGGTATTTTGGACCAAAATGGCTACTTTACCTCAATATTTCTCAATATTTCTACAGTAAAAGTTTCTGGTCTTTGGTACAGTGGCAGAGGGCAATAATAAGGTCATGAGTCAAGTGAAATTAGTCGCACACCTTATTCCAGTAAATAGTTACAATACTTGAAAATTGCACTAGCGGACCAAATTGTGTACTTTATACATGTAAACAATAGAGTGGCTATCCTCCTGAGGACTCACAATCTGCCGGAGGAATCGTAGGGGGCTGGTGCTATGTGTACTGGGTGGCATCTCTATAAGGTTTTAATCACAAAAACGTGTCTCCCTGACCCCAGCGCGCTTTCTGTTCGATAAAAATGGGTGACTCCGAAAGGACGTTCCGCTGTTACCGTAAGTTCTCAACAAAACGCGCACCGTCTTTTCCCCGATGCGGGCCGCATGTTCATAGAGCTGAAAGATGCGGGCCACTTTACCGCGGTAAATTAATAGACACAGCTGCTTACAGCGATGATCGCTGATGGAGACGGAGACACGCGGTGTGCACGAAGGGGAGGGGCTGTGTGTGTGTAGGTCTCTGTATGTGGGAGAGACGCGTAGCTTGAGTGAGAGTTACGAAGGGCCGCCACATTTTAAACCCCCCTCCCCGCTGTCAAATTGACCGCTGCGGCGGCACTAGACGATGCATGTCTTAAATAGCGTAACAAAAAAAATATATATATAATAATACGAAACGCAATTTGTGGCGGGCGGTCTCTAATCTGTGGCGGTGCGCCACAGATTAGTCTATGTGTGGGAAACACTGAATGACATGCCTTGATTCACAGAGAAAACCGAGAACCATGTTAGAAAAATGTTGTATATAAGTCCGTCCCTTTACTATGGCGAGTATGTCACCCCGTCTAACAAGAGCCCAGATGAGGAAATTGGCTCCAAATAGTCGATGTTCAAAACGGCTTCTTACACATTCGCCACAGACTATGAGTGACATCAGCACTCGTCAATCCACTCCTCTACAGTCTATGGTTGGACCTCAGATTGGGCTTTGAAATGTTCTATCCATCATAGCCACCACACGTCTGTTAGAAAAAAATGCAAAGAAATACTGCCAAGTTGGACTGCTGAATACCCAAATCTCTTGACAATCTCATTCAAATGTTTAGTATGCAGAATGGTTAGAGGCAAGAGCCAACATGATCAATATATGAATGCAATTGGACAGTGTTGATTGAACTCCACACAGGCCCTGGGGCACATAAAGCTGAAATGTGCATTCAGGCCATATAAGGACAATATCCAACCTTCCCTCCCCCCATTGCCTTACATGTAAACACAGTGCACATGGCTATCTGTCAGAGTGCCAATGGGCTCCATCCATCTTTAATCAAACTGAATATAGAGTGTCCATGAGCGAGCCCTTCCCCTTTCTCAGTCTCCTCCTCTTCCTTCACCATGACACCCATCCTTTCATTGCAATCAATCATTCATAAACTCACGCTCTTGCCTTAAGTGGTGAGCTGGCCTGGGAGAAGAGCCAGCATGATGGATACCTCAGCCTGAGAAGGGTCAGTGTCCACAATCGGATCAAAATATCTCGACTTTGGGGAGTTCTCTGTTTGTGTGTAATCCATTTCAAATATTGATTCAAATTCAGCATAAGAACAGTCTCTGGAGTTCTGATGTTCATGATCTGTCTCAGTGGTGAGTGATAGCTAATATCACAACTATTGTCCATCCAAAATATGTATTACCTCATCAGGCCACCACTTTACAAGAGAAGCATAGTCATTATCAACTGACATTTTTCAGTAGGAGTCAATTTTATAATCCATTAGAAAAGGTTTTGCATGGTCAGGACTCCTGAAGCTTGAAGATTGTTTAATCAACAAACACATGTGGCTAAACCAACAGGGTTAAACCAGTAACCCCATTGGTTCGCTTGACAAAGGTATTTGTCAGAATGACCAAAGTTGCATCAGTTGGTGCTAGACCAAAATAGATTGGTTGAAAACACAAACAAACCAACAAACAATAGTGAGTGCATGCTTTTTCATCTTGACAAGCTACATATAGTTCTATTGTGGTGCCTACTACATACAGTATGAAAGCCTGATACTGTCAGACTTCAAAATGGTTAGTACTGCGATAGGAGACCTCTGGGAACACCAGGTGCCACACTCTGCAGCAGTGCCAGACTGTTGTTGTGTCCATAGGCAAGACACTTCACCCACATTTGCCAAGTATGACTGGTGGTAGTCGGCTGCAGATTATTTTGTCAGAATAATGTTGAAATAGTTGAAATCACAATAAATTGAACCAACAGATTGGTCAAACACTACCAACTAGTGGGTGGTAGCATTGCGTTGGTTGGTAGGGGAAACCGGAGTGTCCGGAGAAAACCCAACCACACACATTG